TCTGTGGCTTTTTTTTCCTTAAGGTCTTATTAGAGGAAAAGAGTGATTAAAACCTCCAGTTAATGAAATAGTATATTCTCTGCGGTGCAGTTGGTCACTCCCTTCTCATTATATATCTCAGTTTGCACTGGAGAAATCTTAAGAAAATCCAAAGCAGCAAATCCACTTCCATGCATCATCTCCTGCCAGCTGTACTGTGTTGGTGACCAAACTATGGCTATTCAGTGCCTGTCAAGTTGTGCAATTTGTCTGTGGGATGGATACTGAATGCTCTACCTTGATGCCAAATGGTAGCTCAGTTTTTTCTGGCTGGCAGATATTTGTTGCCTTAAAACAATGCACTGAGAGGAAAAAGTATTTTTGCTCTGGTGCCTCTACTTTCCTCGAATCTTTCTTCTCTCTGTAAAATGGGAAAATTTAAATTGCATGCTTTACTCGGATAAGGAGGAGATGAGGGAAGAGAGAAAAGGGAAAGATTTTCATTTGAAGCCAAATAGACATGTGGTGATCACAGAGGGGATTTGACCCGAGTCTCACATCACTGGCTTTCAACACTAGGGGTAAATGCTCTGTCCTTAGTGGAATTATGCTTGAATACAATTGGTGGGAGGACCCTGTGACATGAACTAACTTCAGATCCTCTGGTTCTGATCAAATCTGTTCGGGGGGGCAGGGAAGGGGGGGAATCAGGCAACGGTTTTTGTTTGGTTTTAAATTTCAGCAGCTTTTTAATTCACCAGTCACTAGAATAGAGACTGACACACAGAGAATTTGTGTTTGCCTTTACAGCAGTTGGTGTGTCCCACTGCTTGGAGGTGGAGAACAAATCCTGGAGGCACAGGCTAGCGTGGGTGCTTTGGGGAGCTGTGCGCAGGTGTGGCAGCTGCTGTGGATCAGCATTACAAATAACAGGATTTGCTAACACCTGATTTCCAAGATAGGCTTAGTGCTGCATTGCTGCTGAGGTACCATCAAGCAGTGTGTGGTCATTCTAGCTTATCTTTGGGTCTGCTGAGACTATGTCAGATCGCAATTCTTCTATAGTTCAAACATGCAGATGAAGGCAGATCTGGAAGGGACCTGAGCTAGATTCTGGTGTTGGCTGCTGTAACAGCTATTACAATTGATTTGAGAATGATTCTAACGTGTATATTTTGTCTGATGTACTGAAAATCTATGGATTCATGTGAATCCCATCAAAGTCCATGCTGACTTGGAAGACCTTCAGCACGTGAATCCATGGCCTCATCTTCTCACCCAGCTGCTATCACACTGCACCATGACTCCTAGACACCCAGAACCCCGAAGTTAACTGTAGGTTATCAGTCAAAATATTCCACATAGAGTTGTATTTTTTCAGAGTAGGGTGGAATATCTTCTGTCTGAGAGCTCTTCAATACTTCCTGTTTGTAGGAGTGAAAAAACCAAGGGCTGTTCTGGTAGGCACATCAAGGCAATATGGCTGTAATGTGCAAGCATGGTTCTTTTCTTGAACAGAATCAGCAAAACACTTGGCTGAGTTGCAATAATCAGATCTTCATTACTGGTGCTGCTTTCAGGAGACAGAGTGGATGTGGCTTGACCTTTTGCTTGACTCAGGCTGAATTTGCAGTGATAACAGAGAAATCCTCTTTTCACTTGTAAGATGAATAGCAAATTTGATATGGAGAAAAGATTGGAAAAGAATAAACACGGAAACAGAAGGTGTTGGTTTTATGAAATAATTCTTCAGTGTTTAAATGTCAGGGTTTGGGGACTTGTTGTTATAATTAAAACAAACCAACAAACATAAAGACAGAAAACTATTTGGCTTTCCAGCATACTGAGCTGACAGTGGAAAGGTCCTCAGCCCACAAATCCAGCAGGGAATATAAATGATTGATGGTAAAAGCTTAGATCATCCACTTTAAGTGTGATTGACAGATAGTGTTCCTGGCAAATGTCTGGAATTCAGCAAGCTGGGATGGAGAAATGCAAAGTACTGACAAACAAACGGCCATCTGCATTTCCCAAGCTTTCTAATCTTTCTTCAGAGGTAAGGTGAAATATATAAAGCCTGGAGTTATATGTAAAAAGAGGCTTTTGATTCAGGTTCTCTAATGCAGCAGTCATTAGACTTTGCTGACCACCTTCTGACACACTTAGAAGTCTCACCTTACTCTTCTTGCTTTCCAGTTACAGACGTTTTTGCTAAAAGACCCACTTAATCTGCCCTCTTCCCCCCCCCAAAAAAAACCCTTTTCCTGAATAAATGATCTTACTTTATGGAGAACTGGAGAACATATAAATAAAGGGAGATGGTATGCAGTTCCTTATCATGTATAAGAGGACAATTGTTCTAATCCAGTGCAGATACTCCTGGGTGGAATTTTAATTCCTGCTTGCTATAAAGACTTCCTACTGCTGCTTTTTTTCCCCCATTTTTCTGTGAATGTCAAACACAAGTTTTTTTAGAATCTGGCAATCTAGGTTGATACTTTTGGTATGCATCATTTAGAAAATGCACTTGACAGAAGCAAAGCAGTGTGGTGCTTGCACGTGTGCCTTGCTTTGGAAATTGAACTGTAATGTAGGATTGATTTTCAACTAGATCGCTGGCTGTTAACTCGATTAACTTCAAGGAAATTGTTAATGATAGAAAACAGTACAACTTCTTCTTTTAGCCTGGTTTGTTTCTTAAAAACTGAGGCTTCTGTGATCTGACTCAGTTTGTGGTTCATATGTTGCTTTTCTCTGTTTGGTTTGGCTCAGAGGGCACCCAGCAGACGTAGCCCCTTCGTGTGCTGCTCTTGCCGCCAATGGGAAGCTGCTCCCTGGGGTGGCAGGGAACTGCAAGAAGGGGGAGTTTTTCAGGAGTTACAAATAGCAAGGGGAAACTGGGGTTGCTGCCACAAGTGAAGGACACAGTTGTGTCTTTCTGTGTTATGTGAAAAGCAGAATTAAATTTTAAAAAGAGTAAGACGTAACTAACTTCTGCTGTATGTCATTTCATATGTAGGCAAAGCAGCACCATGCTGTTTGTACTTGCATTGTATTAATTATTCTTTACATTACTGTGGGGCAGTAAAATAATTATTGTCATTTTAAGGTAGGGAAACTTGTCTGGAGATGTTAAGAAATATGCTTAGAAATGAGCTAGAATTCCTCTCCCTTATGCTCGGACTACCAGTTCTAACTGTTGCTCATCAGTGATGGCACATTTCAATACTTGACAGATTCCAGAGCGTTAATTAAAACAGTTGTTTAGCTAATTGCCTGGAAGATTGCAAGTAAAAGCATATTTATTCCAAAGGCAAACAATCCATTTTTACCCAGTGAAGCATATCAGTTTTTATGGTGCATAAAAATTGTTTCACTTCAATTTTGAATGTATTGTGTGTTTGTCTGTCTAAAAGCCTTGTAGATGATGATCTATTTTAAGTGCATGGAAGCTTTTTTCTTAGGCATTTTTAATGTATCTACTGAAAAAGCATATGTTTAAATAATTGAAAAATGTGAAAAGTTATTGCCATTAAAATGAGAGGTTCCTGTCTGCACCGGGCTATTGGACTACCACCATGCTTACTGATAGGCAGTGTTTGTAGTATTTCTGGATGTTGGCACTGGCCTATGTAAAGAGACTAGAGGTGGAAGAAAGGGTATCATTATGGTGCCTTTGCCTAACTTTGTGGAGAAAAATGTGCTTATGGAACAGGTGGTTTCAGTGTATATATGCATTTAAAATGGAAATATAGTCTATGCTCCTCCAAACCGTTCAGGGACTAAACTGGTCCCTGGCAGGTGGACTGCACATGGCTTTTGTGGAAGACTGGGAGCATATCAGTGTGAACCACAGCTTATCACACTACAGCATAGCTTACCGTCAGGCTGATAGCTTGTCCTCAAAGAGAAAACACTTATCTAATGGAAGAGATTACGTAATGGTGGAAGTACAGCTCAAGGGCTGAGATGGGAGTTCTGGGTTTAATTTAGAAGTTTTCTTGACCTCTTTACTCGTGATAGTTCTCTTGACTTTCATATAGACTTTCATACATGACGACCAAAAAATCTGGTATATTTGCCCTGCGTTGTAGTGCCCAGACTGGTGCAAATGCCCTCCTTGCAGTATTCCTCAGTAGGGATTTCACTGCCTGCCCCAAGCTCATAGAGGCAGGCGTATGGGAAGGTTGTAAGGAAATGGCGACGTTTTCTTTCTTCCAGTGTGTAATGGCTAAATATTCTTGCCTTGTCAGTATTATCTTGGTGATACTTAACCTGTAATTCTTCTTGGTTTGGACTACATTGTTATGTTAAACCTCTGCTATATTATATGGGGGCACACTCGCACAACTACTGAGAGATTTTGTTGAGATGCTTAGCAGCTGCAAAGCATTAGAGCCACCAGACTTGTGAGATCTGCTCTTTTATGCTCTTGTAAAGACAGACTTTTCTGGTGATGATCTAGCGAACTGGGGTAAACTTACTTTAATACTGACATATAGTAGTGTTTTGTTACAGCCTGTAAGTGCACTAACTTATTATACAAGATGGTTTTATTGACACAATAGCCGGTAATTGTTAGCTAGATTAAGAAAATTCAACAACATAGATGTAAGAAACAAATCGTTTGCATGCCAGTTAAAAGAAGAAAGAGAAAAAGCATTTCCTCTTAATTAATCTCTTTGAAAGGGATAAGAAGAGAAAATGAACCAAGAATGAATGCTTTTCTTGATTTTTAGAGGAAAACCTTTACTGACATTTAAAAGGGACTTGTCACATGAAGCACTTTTTGATTGTGGTTTATTCTTGTGAAAAGTTGCTGGGCTGTTGTAATTAACAAAAAGATAGTGGAAAATGTTATCAATTAAATATTTCAACGATTTCCCCCCCGTCGCCGACAGAATTTTTTCCTGACCACATAAAATAGGAGAACCTTGACTACATAAATGAGATGTATGTTCTTTTATATTTTTGGTGGAAATAGTACCATTACTGAAAGCAATGCTGCTGCTTTTCTCTAGGCAAAGGAGACGTTTTTGGTGATGTGTTCTGGAAGGAGTCTACCCTTGCCCAGTCCTGTGCTAACGTAAGGGCTTTGACTTACTGTGATCTTCATGTGATTAAGAGGGATGCCTTGCAGAAAGTGCTGGAGTTCTACACAGCCTTTTCACACTCCTTCTCCAGAAATCTCATTTTGACCTACAACTTGAGAAAAAGGGTAAGTAGCTTTGATTTTAACACACAGCACGTAAATGATCGCTTTTAATGATGTCTATATGAAAAAACTGAATTGCTTGAATTCTGGCATTCTTGTAGCCTCTCTTATAAGAAGGTTTTTCAGAGCTTGCCTAAGAGACACTGCTAGCATGTAGAGTCAAAAGGCCATAAGTATTTAATCCAGTGCTAGTTTTATAGGGAGCTGGACCATGTATATGTGAAAGTATTTTTACATTTCTATGAAGTGTACAGATTTCAGCATATTTGCGAACTATCATGCACTTGTGATAAACAGTGTTCACTACTTTCTGCAACTTTAGTTTGTAAAGCAGCTAAAAAGATGTTAGAGGTGTTGCCTGAAGTTACAAGGAAAGTGGAAGGAAAGGTATGAAATCTAATATATGGAACAAAAATCAGCACCACTAATCACAATGGAAAAGTAATATGAACATGACTGATTCTATCAAGAGTTGTTTCTTTTAGTATCAATCACATTTTGGAATTACTTTGCTTATCTATAATGTTTCCATTTTCTTATCCTTGATTTTTTTTCTCTTTTCATTTCTTCCTGCATGCCAGTTCAAGTTTTGTCAAACGCTAATCATCATAACTTAATACCCCATTTTAAATTCTCTGTGTAATCTTCAGTGAACCACCTCTGTAGAAATTTATTAAAACTGTAATAGGTGTTATTCAGTTGATATGATTTTATGATGCAATGTAGAAGACAATAATATTACATTGAAAATAAATACATTGGAGCACCTATACTTGCTTTAAAATATTAGGATATAAAGATACTTGAAATCAGCTAAAGAAATATGTTCAATAGGAGATTTTTTTTGTTCCTAAAAACAGTTCTCCATGGTAACTTCCAGGTGCCAAGTAAGTCCTAGATAATTACACCTGAAAAAATTGAAACCTTTTCATCTTTGAAGTGTGTTTTTTAAAATTAGACTTTAAGACTAGAGTATTGAATTTTTTTTTTTTTTAAATCTAGAATTGGCATACTGAAATTAAAATAGTGTGGTGATGTTTTCTATCTGCATATGTTATCAATATCAAAGAATTCAGCTTTTCAGTATTGGGCAAAGAAGAATGTGCTATTTGCACTTTAGTCAACTAAATCAAAGCCCTGGTAGAAAATTGATTAAAAACTAAGAAGCAAATTTATACTTAAGGATTTCCCCATAGGACTTTTTTTTCAAATTACATTGAGTTCCTGCAGGATGAGGAGAAGATATACAGCTGCAAGAAGATTAAGAGAGATGTCCTGTTAAAAACTAAGTTTAAAACCCAGCTAATTACCTGGTGTTAATTAATGTGAGAAATAAAAGAAATGAAAGAATTTGGTATTGAGATCACCTAAAGCATCAGTATCACTGACTGGCGTATTTAAGATAACACTGTGGGCAATGTGGTAAAATGGTCTAAGAATATATAACTAGCTTTTTTTTTTAACATCAGTAGAAATAACAGAATTTGAGGCATAGAAGGACCAACTCTCTTAAAGCTCACATAACACTAGCAGAGTCGCATCATTTTGGATCTGCTCTGAGCCAAAATTCCAATTTTAGCATCAAATGCCTACTCCAGAAGTGACACACTTTCCCTCCATGTTTATCAGTGTAGCTTTTCCCAGCCCAGGTTACAAAACACTTCTTAACCACAGTATTGTAATTCCTGTGCTGTCAATTTTCTACACAAATTGTTCCTAATAAAAAGGTACATTTTATGATAGCAATTTCCATCCAGTTATTCAAATAATTGGATTTTAATTGAGTTGCAGTCAGCAGAAAAGTGGTGTTGATTGATAATGAAAGTGAGAGTTTGATGGTTCTAGGTTAACAGACTGTAATTTTATTTATTTTATTGAAAGAAGGCTGATTGCAATCAGAATGCAGATGTTAAATAATGTAAATAATGTATGTTTTTGGAAATGCATAGAAGGTACGCTACGTTAGAGATTGGAGATAATGCACATTAAAAAGCAACTTTTTAGAGTTCGGAATTTAATCTGGTTTAAATATCTGTGACTCTTTTATAGAAATAGCTCCCCAGCCTGTCGCTTCTAACACTTCTCCTGGTCTATTTCTGCAAATGGAATTTTCTAGAATATAAATAGAATATATAGAATTTTATAGTACCTTCTGTGAGTTATGGTTGTGATGTATTGCATATCCTTTGGAATATAAATAACAGAATTACACTTTTCATTTCAATAAACAGTTTCATCTCTGGCTCCAAAAGTGTTCAACTAGTTGAAGTGTAGATACTGTATATTCATCCCAAATATATTCATACAGATTCCAAATACATGAAAAAGCAGCTTTGGGGATTTTTTTTTTTTTTGCCTGAAGGATCTCAGGGATATATTTTTAGACTTGGTTATTCCTCTGAGGTGTCCTCATCTCCAGGGTGCGTGTGCCTTCGCTTGGCCATGGTACTGAGTCTCACTGCATAGTGCAAGGTGCTTTCTAGCCATGTTTTGCTCAGCCTAAGTGAGCTTTAGCACTGGTCCGCTCTTTCACCATGTTCCCATATTCCTTGGGTGCTGGGTCTCCTCCAGTGACTCATCCCCTCATGGAGACGGGACACTCTGTCCCAGACAGTGCTGACCTTACAGATGTCCCCCATACTTATTGGGGTCTGGATCCGCTTGCTAACGACTGTGACAGAAATAAGCAGACACGCAGGCGCATTGTAAGGAACCGAAACCAATTGGTCTTGACCTTAGCTAACTCTAGAGCTGGATTTAGGCAAAGTAAAAAGCATCTTCCCTCCATTCCTTGTGCTGCTCTTCCTACTGGTCTTGAATGTGCTTTGACCTGAGCTGGGAGGGCAGGATGCTTCTGTCTCTGCGTCCCCTTTATGCCCTCCCTAGAACAGGGCCACAGCTATGAAATGCTACTGCCCGTGACGTCTGAGGACTTTGTGGCTGAGGGAGATGCTTCCAGTGCTCTGGCCCTGGCGTGCCGTGGCTGTCCGTGTCTGTGCTGTGAAAACAGTTTTCTTTCACTCGCTTTCTCGACAAACACTGGTGAAATATATCCTCTTTTCTAAAACTGTCAGCTCACTGTCAGGTGACTCCCTGAGCAGTTTCCTCAAGCAACTAAAACCCCTCCTGAAGTTATTAGCTGTCTAGTTACCTCTGGCTGGAGCTCAGACTTAGGAAACTTTTTATTTTTCCTAAAGGCGAAGAGAAAGGAGACCTTTAATTAACTCTTTCTGCTGTCAGTCATCGACCTTTTCATCTAACTGGAAGCAGGGGGGAGAATCAGCGGCTGCATCTCTCTCTTTCCAAAATCTTAAGAAACTGGAACTGCAGTCTGTGGCTGCAGGTGGCTGTATGTCAGACTCAAGGGCTTTGCAGCTGAAAGGAAGCTGACAGAGGATTTCTCAGAGCGCTTCCTGCTGTAACAATGTTGTGAAATTAAAGCAGGTTAACTTGACGTTTATGCACGTTTTTGGAATCTCATAGAGGAACCAGAGCGTAGACACTGGGGGTATGTGGGATGGTCAAATGACAAATTCACCCTTATGGTGGGTGTGCTAGACGAAAAGGAAATACTGCAGGTTTGGAGGGCAGCAGGATTCACAGGCTGGATGGAGGTCTATTTTTCCCCAACAAATATTTAAACACTTCTGGATTTCCAGCCTGGACTTCATAGCCCTGTCTTAGTAAAAGCGTAAGAAGAGAGAAGCTTGCGTGATAGCTACTTGTCGTTGTCTTTTGCTTGTCATGAGGTGCAAGTTTGCTGGCACCTTTTTTAGGAATGTGCAAGGCCTTTGGCAGCACTTGCAAGCGTTCTGGTTTTGGCAGTTGCTTCTTTCTGTGTGTATGAGCTTTTTGACCAATATTAACTTACGCTGGGTTGTACCACGGTGTATTTGCTCAGTTCATTCTGCTGCAGCCGTAAATGATGTTATAGCTCAAATGATCGCACACGCTACATAAAAGAGAGAATTCTTATACATAATTTATTAAGCTGAGATTTCTCTAGTAAGCCATTTTCGTCTGGATAGAGATTAAATGACTAATTCTGAATGCTTTGGAGTATCATGATAGAAAGCACAAATAGCTTTTCCAGAAGCTGAAATTTGTCTCCTGGAATAAAAGAAGGAATGCAGTAGGATGCAGATATGTTATTTGGGATTTTGTAAGACTGAAAGAAATGGCAAAGAATGCTCTGCATTTTTACAAAGCAAATGTGATTTAGTAGTCTAAAGACAAAGCTCCTAGTCAGAACATGTTTCTTGAGAGAGCAGTGATTGCAACAGAGTAGTCTGTCTCCCTGCTGGTGTAAGGTTGCTTGCTTTTGTACATGTAGTGGTGTGCTTATTCTATGCAATTCCAACTGTGCCAGTGGACAGGGCTCCCACCACCTCTTTCTAAAAGCAATTTTAAAATATAATTTTTCTTTCCTCTTCAGCATTAGCTTCACCTTTCTTCTTTTTATACTGTAAGCTCTAACTAGAGAGAACCTCTCTCAGATCAAATGTTTCAGCTAGGAGTGCTTCAAGCCTTGATTTTAAATCTTGGGGGGCTTGGCAGCAGGTTGTTTTCAGAGAGACAATCCATGGCCTTGTATTCTGCCTTTCCACATGACAAGTTTTCTAATTCTTTTTCATGATATCGGTTCAAAATGGTATCCCAGAATTCTTTCTGATATAGAAGGCTGAATTGCTGGAAGATTTTAACAAAGCTTTCTTAAAATGAGAAGAGTGAAAGGTTTTAATTTTAGAATATTGTCCCATTTGATGGTGGATTTCAGAATGGTCAGACTGACAGCCTACTTCTTTCTCCTGCGTTTGTATTCACCAGAACAATCCCACAAGTCCTGTGGGAAGACGGGTTTGATGCTTGACTGGCATGCGTCTTACAGCACTGAAAACCCAGGACACTGGACATGACTGAGACATCTGGATGGGTCTGTGGCTTGGGAGTTATGCCATATTAGCTGGCCAGGAGGCAAAGTTGTCATTTTCCAAAAAACCTTC